GACCGCAGCGCCACCTCCGGTCGACTGTGCAGCACCCAAAAGCTCTCCTAGACTTATCCAATGCAGTCAACTCCATACACTCGCCGAATCTACAATTCTCCACCTCGAATCTACAATTCTCCACCTCGGCAAACGTTTTCCCAAAAACTAAGCCGACACTGACCATACCAAACGCCATGGCAACGGACTCATGACAACGGACTCCATCCACAACAAGTCGAGACCCAAACGGGAGTGCGAACACTCACCCCAACCAACAGTGTCTACTCACCAAATCGGCTGCATCAAAACTGACTGCCTACGTATCCTCTTGCCCGAGGAATCAAGCCTTCACGTAGTTCACCTAATGGCCTCCAAAGGCCCTCAATCCAAAAGAAGAGTTCTCAACTCTTCACCAATACCAACATCCAATGTACGACTGATAGCATCACCAACGGTCCCAAACTGAAACGATCCAAACACCTCCACCTGAGGTGATCCAATGGCCGTATCCAAGTTATATCCAGCAGCTGCACTCGGATCTACCAACTCATCATTCACATCTGAATCCAAATAACTCCCACACTGTGCCATCTCAGTTGGAACCCTAAATAATGCAGAATGAACTGGAGTATGTGGAGTAAGATCCACCCAATGTGGAGTAGCATCACCCTCCACCCGCTGTGATATCTCACTGATCTGATCAATACTCTCTACCTGCCGAGAGTCCAAAGTGACATACCTGCTCAGACTAAACTCAGAAGCCCTTAATTGATATCCAAAAGAGCCTCTGAATCCTAATCGTGCAATCAGATCCAATCTCACATCTATGATGTGACCAAGTATTGGGTAGCCAAATATCCGACGCTAACCAAAATCTAAAGCAGCTCCATCAGATCTAACAATATCTAACGTAGCAGTCGGTAACCTCATAAGATAGCCCAAACGTGTCGAATCCCGAATACCAAATCCACTGCTTGACAACCAACGTCGATCCTTCTCCAGAAAAGAACGGCCCACTAAATCCGCCATCTCATCACGTCGCCCCACTGTCTCCTCTCCTCTGAAGTGTCTCCACCTGCCATGAGCTCGGCACCAATGCAAGAAAGAACCCCTACTAGAACTAGTACGATGGGTAGCATTTCTTCCCATACAGCTCCTCCAACTGTCGCAGACTACTAGGGCTTCATACCAACGGGACTTGGTTCCAACCCATAAATGCCTAGTACAATCTCCAACATAGGAAACAAAATAAGGATTACCTCCCAATGATGCCTCCATGGAAGGCCCCCCAATGCCTGACTGAACACCTCCAATAAGACCCCTCGATCGGTGGATAGAAGTGCCCAACTTCACCTCTGTCTTCTCGCTCATCCTAATGTGCTCAAAGGACTTCAATCTACAAGTCATAGCACTCCTCAACAATCTGTGCACGGCATAACCAATAATATATCCCAGCACCAAACAATGCCACAGTCTAGTCAAAGAAGTCGTCAGCGCTCTATCAATCACCGTGCTCCCAAGCAGATAATATAAGTTACTTCTCCTGACGCCCTTCATCACATGTTGCCTCTAATACCCCAAGTGAAATGATGTTCTTCCTCAGTTGAGAAACGAACCTCACATCAACCAACTCC